AAAAAAAAAAAAACAAAAACAAAAACAAAAATGAACCAATACGTATGGAAGAAAAAAGTGAAATTTGACTGTTACTATAAACATCAAAATCTAGCAGTTTTTCCTTTTAATCTTTTCTCACTTTTTTTTTCGTATCTTTAATTCTATTATAATAAAAATTAAAAACAAAAACGAAAACAGACAACTCCAAATAACAATCGATGCCATATGCGGGAGGAGGGTAAAAGAAGAAACTGAATAATCAACAATGAACAACAGCGGAACATCAAAACCAACCACTCTGTCACCCGACAATACGCAACACTGATGGACCCACCCGTCTGGTAATCTTTCACCGTGTCTGTGTCTGTGTTGGTGTCGGTGTTTGTGCGTACGTCCAAAGCCGTAAGCTGTTTAGGTTGCAAAACATGTTGAATTAATAGTGAAAAGCTTTTGGATTTCTGACCTGTCCGATATTGTCAGTTTTTCAGCTTTCTAGCGTAGGTGTTTATCCATTAAATTTTGTCTTTCTGCCCCCCGCCTCTCAGTCCAACAAACTACGATGTAACTGTAGAAAAAATTTTTGAAACAAAAAATATAACCAAGAAAAAACCGAAGCACGACGTCAATCAATACGAATGGAAATGGAAATTTCAAAATTTTACCACTTCTCCAAACAGCAGAATATTGTTAAGCTGAAAGTCATTGTAAACCGGGGTTAAAACTCAGCGCTGTTAAAGCACCAGCCGAAATTCACTTGTAAAAAAAAATCTATTTGGTGGCTTAATTGAGCGATGAGCCAAAAAAAAAAAGAAAAACAATTAGAAGACAAACGCAAACATAGAGTAAAAGAGGAGAAAAAAGAATTTTGCGGAAGAAAACGACGAGAAGGAAAAATTAAACAGTAGAAGGGAAAAAAAAATGACTGAAAGAAAATCGTGAAAAACAATTTTCAATATTGTATTAGCAGCAAATAGCACAATAAACAGTTTTAAGTGGTTCAAACAACGATTACTGATGACCAATTTTTTTTTTTTCATTTTCACATGCAAACTGCATGTTCAGAATTTTTTTTTAATGCCATAAATATTTCTGAAATTTAAACTTTCAAATGCACTTAAAATAGTTCATTGAAAAGTTGTCAATTTTAAATATTTTATTTGAAAAATACATAAATCATTTTTTTCTTATTTTTTGCTGCCAATTTGACGTATTGATGTCAAATGCTGAACAGTGACTTCTGCAATTGACTTATCATTCAGTCAATACAGAAAATAGTAACTGTATTTATGGAAACTACACAGAGTATAAACAGAAGCCAATAACGGTTGTAATAGAAAAGTAAGTATTGATAAATTATATGTTGCAATATAGACGATTAAACCAATTGCTGATTTACCCTTATTGTCAACATTCAATCGGTACTCAGTCCAATCCTTCCTCTTCTCTTCTTCAGAGGACACGACAAGGGAGAACAGCATACTAAGCAACAGTCTCAATAACAACGAATCTATATGAAAGCTACACAATTAAACTGAGCAGTCCTCTTGTCCCCTAATCTCTAATTCCATCCTTAAAAAGAATAGCAATTACAATGAAACCCATTATTGCTGTTTAAAGTCCATAATAATTTAGCATAAAGAGCATAGCCGTAGTTTATAAATTTCTAGCAAATTTAATATTGTTAAACGAAACAAAAAAAAAAAAAACGAAGCAATAACCTAGAATTTTTGATGTTTGGGAGGTTTGAGCAAGAGTCAAAATACTATTTTTAGGTCAACGACTACCAGACTAAACTAATTACATATCTGTTTAGGCTAAACTAAATTTAAGACCGGCACAAAAAAGTGCTTAATTGCTCGCTTAAAGATTATTACCATGACTAATCAAAAAAAAAATTTTTTTTTTTT